AATAAAACTTTAAGTGCTAAAATGTAATTTAGCCTTATTTAATTAATCGGATTAAAATAAACGTTAATAAAATTATAAGGTACTAAATCAGTTATTTACCCTAAATATATATATATAAATTGATAATGACTAAAATGTAATAAAATAAAATTGAATGATATGATTAAAAGAATTAAAACTTGCTTTTAATGACTAATTTGTAATGTTACAAACTAGGAGTGACTGCGGAAAGGGTTTACCCATGATGGAAATTACACAGATACCCTCCTCCTTAAACGACGTCGCACGGATGAGGGTTTATAACCCTGAATGCCTGGCCCGAAGGGCCAAGCTTCTCATTTGCCTTATTTCTTTCTTTCTCAAGACGAGAGAACCAGAGTTCTCTCTGGTTTCTCTCTAGTTTCCCTCGCCGGAGGGAAACCGGCGGCCATGGGCCACCGTATTCCGCCGCCGGCCACCGCCGCCGACCACCGTAACGGTGGTCGGAATTCACAAAAAATACCCCCAAAACGTAGATCTAAATACCCTAAGACCGATTCCGGTCTTTGTTTTCCATAAAAGACTCCTAATCGGAGTAAATCTACGAAAATACCTTCGGTATTTTCTGTTCTCCGGCGATGTTTAGTGCTTCCGACGGTGGTCAAGGCTCCAAGGGTAAGTTTCTTTTCTTCTTTCTTTGTTTTCTATTTTTTTTTCTGGTTGTTGGTTGCTGTTCGTTTGTGTTCTTTTCCTCCTCTGTTTTTTTTTCGTTCTGTTTTTTTTTTGTTCTCTGCCGTCTGTGGCTGTCTCTTCTTCCTTCTTTCGCAGGTATGGTGGCTTTTATAGCCACCACGAGGTTCTGTTTGGACCGGTCCCGAGAGGGATGTCTAGGTGAGTCACCATAGCTATGCTGGTGACTCACCATGGAGCTCGATTTGGGCTGCCATCTGGTGTTCTGGAATCTACGGCGGCGAGGTGGCGTGGCAAAAGCAGCGTCGGCAGCGACTGGTTGGACCATCTGGCAGTGGAGGAGTCGGCAGCAGCGTCTGGAAGCTGGAGAGGCAGCTTGAGCCCTCTGGAAGCGGCGGCTGGGAGCTAGGGTTTGAAAACCCTAGCTGAAATCTTACATATTGTTTAGGGTTTCTGGTTGGCTGGACCGGTTCTGGTTGGCTTGTAACTGGGCCGGTCCAGTTGTAATTATTTATTAAATAATAATAATATATAATAATAATAATATATAATATTAATAATAATAATAATAAATAATTATAATTATAATAATAATAATAATACTAATAATAATAATAATAATTTCAATAATAATAAATTTAAATGAAAAAAATGATGTCTACAGAATGCAAAGCCTTTACTGAAGGAAGCTCTCCAAGCAGAAGTGGGCTTGCCTTGTGAAAGCGATGTTCCAGTGATCTGCTTCATCGGTAGGCTAGAAGAGCAGAAGGGCTCGGACATTTTGGCGGCGGCTATACCGAAATTCATCAGCGAAAATTGCCAGATTGTAATCCTTGTTAGTGTCAAATTTTAACCTTCTGCTGTATGTTGCTGTTGCTCAAATGAGTATAGTATTAATAATGGGATATATCTTCTTCCTTTCAGGGAACTGGAAAAAAGGCCATGGAAGAGCAGATTATGAAGTTAGAGACTCAATATCCTGGCAAGGCTAGAGGAATAGCCAAATTCAATGTCCCACTGGCCCATATGATCATTGCCGGTGCCGATTTCATCTTGATCTCCAGCAGATTTGAACCATGTGGTCTCATCCAGCTGCACGCTATGTGATATGGAACCGTAAATGCTTATCGCCATTTCTTTTCTGCAACCAACTGATTTGGCTTCATGAATTTGCATAAGCAATCTCTGTGCTACAGGTGCAGATAGTTCCCTCGACCGGTGGACTCGTCGACACTGTGAATGAAGGATTCACAGGGTTTCAAATGGGAGCATTCAATGTTGATGTAAGTAGTTGAAATCATTCCTTGTGTGAAGAGCAACGTCTAGACTCGATCGTACTTATCGATGTTTTTGCAGTGCGATGCGGTGGATCCAAAAGACTTGGATAAGGTGGCAAAGACTGTCAAGGAAGCTCTTGCAACATATGGCACTCAAACCATGACAGAAATGATCCTCAACTGTATGGCACAAGATCTTTCATGGAAGGTTAGTGGTGCCTTGCTGAGCACGTAAACAAATTTCAAGTTGTTTAGGAAGAACGAATACGATGGAAAATTTGTTCATCTATGCAGGGACCAGCGAAGACGTGGGAGAAGTTGTTGTTGAGCCTAGGAGTCCCCGGCGGTGAACCGGGCAACGAAGGAGATGAGATTGCTCCTCTTTCCATGGAAAACGTTGCCACTCCGTGAACGTTCAACAGTGACTAAATAATTCGGAATGTTCCGGCGTCGAGTTTTTAAGTTCGGACTATGTTTGAGGGTGGAAAGTTGGGAGGTTTTGTATCCTTGAAGCCAAAAGGTGTTTTTCATGTTTGAATGCATACTTGAATCTAGGCATTCCCGTCCATGAGTCTTTAAAACTTGGTTTCCATGGGAATAATCGTGTGTTTAAACACAATGGTTCACATGTATTGTGGTTGCAAAGGAGGAATTGAGTTTGGTCACACCAACGTGTTTAAAACTTTAAAACAAATGTGGAATTTTATATATTTTTTTTGAAACTTTATATTCTTAAAATCATTTATAATTATATTCTTGATATTCTAAAATCAAAATTAAAATTGTTGCTCAACTTAATTTGAAAAATAATTTAAAATATCAACGGATAAAAGTTGAACTCATTAAACAATTAAAAAGAGTGTTATTTTCTCTAGAGTTTTAGGTTTAAGTGTATGTAGGACATGTGATTGATTGTTAATGAATAAAATTTTTTTGAACATATACTATAAATATATTAAAATATATAGGTTTCAGGGTCATTTTTACCCGTATAGTAAACTCAATTTATCATTTTCGTCTCTATATATTTTCGTATCAATTTAACCATCGAATTTACTCAATTATATCGATGTTTAATATGTATTATTATATAGGGTTTTAAGTTAAGGTTTATAATATAAGATGATACAATTAAATAATTTTGATAGGTAAATTAATACGAAAATATCATATAAACAAAAATAATAAATGAAGTTTATTACATAAATAAAGTGAACCTCGAACTAAATATACATCATCAATAGATTGAAACACGCACCATCGATAATATCCAATGAAAAAATCAATATAATTATTTTAAAATTTGAGAACATAGTATATAATTAACTTTATACTAACGATTCATTAATAGGTTAATAGACTAAACAAAAAGTGGGAGAACGGGGCCCATGCAAAGATTGTCGGAGACGTAAACTTTACCCTAAAAAATCATACAGAAATTATTATTATTATTATTGTAATAAAGAATAAAGAAAACATTCCATAAAACAACTATAGTTCGTAGGGATGGTAAATAGGCGGGTCGGGTACGGATATCCCTTCCCTCATCTCCATACCCACCTAATATTTTTCAATTCACCACCTGCCCACTACCTATGATGGGTACAAATTTTCAAATCCACACCCGCCCGCGGGTACATTCTCAAATTCATCCCCACACCCACTACCCACTAGCGACGTACCCGTCTAGACCCGACTGACAACAAACTTAAGTTATACATAAGCAACAAACATAAAAAAAAAACATGTCCATTAAGAAACATAATAAAATAATCCAAGGATTATCTAAGTTAAGTGTTAATATAAATCTTAAAATACAAAACACTATAATAAAATACATAATTAAAGTCTAGAAACATAAATGACAAACACATAATATTTTTGTTCTTTGGCACAACATTCTAAAATTTCAGGCAATATTTCTGACATATAATATTCCAGTATTACAATCATCATTCTCTATTTCCTCCAACTGAGAGCGCTCCAATTTAAATTCACTACTACCTACATATATAATAGAAAGTAAAACTAATATAAGTTAGTAACTAAACTTTAATAAGATAATTAAGTACAATTTGACAACTAATATAAACTAAATAATAATATTACATTTAATATCGGCCCAAAGCTAATTTTGAGCATATATTAATGCTTCAATCGTCTCCGGAAGTAATCGACTACGATAAGGATCAATTACTCTTTCACCTATACTGAATGCAGATTTTGATGGGACAGTAGAGACAAGAATGCCTAAAATATCATTTGTTACTTGTTGGAGAGTTGGATAAATTACATGCTATATCTTATACAATATTAGAATTTATAAATTAGTCTCTAAAATTACACCTAAATTCATAATGGTCCAAAATTTAATTGATATTTAGCTAGGCGGGCGGATGTGGGGCGGACGGATGCGGGGCGGGCGGATGCGGGGCGGGTAATGTCTCAAACCCATTACCCGCCCACCACCCTCGACGGGTACCACTTTCTAAATCCACACCCGCCCACTACTCGCTAAAATTATACATATCCCTACTCTAATCGAAACAAATGTGGTGCGAAATACACAAAACTGTACCGTTTGCCCTCCCTAATCGTTCGTTCATAAACAATCATTTAATATCTTGAAACAAAAAAAAGAAGGAAAAAAATCTAGCTTCCCATGGTCCCCACCGTCAAGAAGATCTTAACCAATGGCCAACCCTAATCACCGACTCTAAATCAATTTATATATTTGCCGACCCAAGCAACCGTAGCCAGCCAGCCAGCCAGCCAACCAGGGAAGAGAAGAGAGGAGGGCCATTAATCTCCAGATTCTTAAACCCTCTTCTTTTTCCTTTTTTGCTAAACCCCGATTGCTTTCAACAACTTGTCGACATGAAACACTTGCTGTGTGCTCAATTATTGCTCTCATCAACTTTCCCACTAGCTCCATTACAGTTGTCGCTCTGATTTCTCAGCTTATAACCAACCAACGCACTTTCTTGTTTCGTTGTCTCGTGTTGTGTCATCTTCAACGCTTTTGGCGACCAAATTTTTGCTTGTCCATTCACAGCTTTTGCCTTTCTGGCTTTCTGCTCTGTTCTCATGGAGTTAACTAAATTCTTCAACTATGGTTCTGTTGTTCTTGTAATTTCAGGTACTGGGTTGGTTTTATTTACTTGGATTTTCAATTAGATTGCATGGATATGGTAATTAACTAATTTTTTTTTTTTTGCAGTTTATTTGTTTGCTTTAATGGTTAATTCGATTGGGATCAATTATGGACAAATAGCAGATAATCTTCCACCGCCGGAAAACGTAGTGCCGCTCGTGAAATCTATCGGAGCCACCAAAGTTAAACTCTACGATGCGGATGCCAGAGTACTTAGCTCATTCGCGAACACCGGCGTCGAATTCATCATTGGTTTAGGCAACGAGGATTTAGGCAACATGCGAGATCCGAACAATGCACAAGCTTGGGTTAAACAAAACGTTCAATCCCACTTACCCGACACGAAAATCACCTGCATCTTCGTCGGGAACGAGGTTCTCACTTTCAACGACACTTCTCTCTCCGACAACCTTCTCCCCGCAATGCAAAGCGTTCACACGGCGCTAGTAAACCTCGGACTCGACAAACAGGTGACTGTCACCACCGCACATTCCTTAGCCATCCTTCAAACGTCGTACCCGCCTTCAGCCGGAGCTTTCCGTGAAGATCTAATCGACATTTTAAGCCAAACTTTGAGCTTTCATCAGAAAACAGGGTCACCTTTTCTGATCAATGCGTATCCATTCTTTGCTTATAAGGGAAACCCAAAGCAAGTTTCGTTGGATTTTGTTCTGTTTCAGCCAAACCAAGGGGTTATCGATCCGGCGACGAATTTGCACTACGACAACATGCTGTACTCTCAAATCGACGCCGTTTACTCAGCTTTAGCTTCGTTGGGTTACAAGAAACTTCCTGTTTATATATCGGAAACTGGGTGGCCTTCAAAGGGAGACGAAGATGAATCCGGAGCAACACCCGAAAATGCCGAGAAATACAATGGAAATTTGATTAAATTGATGTCTAAAAACACAGGGACGCCAATGAGACCCGATTCGGATCTTAATATTTATGTTTTTGCTCTGTTTAACGAGAATATGAAACCAGGACCAACTTCAGAGAGGAATTATGGGTTATTTAAGCCTGACGGAACGCCGGCTTATGCTCTCGGAATTACTAATAGCAATGATTCGACCGCCGGTGGAAGTATTGGTAATGGACTGACGACGCCTTTTTCTCCGACGAGTTCTTCCACTGGTTATTTGTCTATTTCTTCAGCGACGGTAAGTTGGGAGCTTTCCGCGTTTTTACTGTTAAAAGTTGCCACTTTTCATTGGATTCTCTTGAAAATGACAAACAGTGGAACTTGAAATTTACCAATTTTTTTTTCAATTTTTGGTTTGATTGATTTGCAGGGAAGATATGAACTCGTCGGGCATGTGTTGATGGCGTCACTGTTGTTGATAAAAATAGTGGTGTAGAGAATTGGCGTTTTATCCGGCTATTTTGCCGGAATAATGTATACGGGGAGGTTTAATTCCCCAAATAATGCACTTTAATTATTATTTCCTCAAATGGGGTGATTGCTATAGGAAATATGGAAAGCTCGGCGTCTTCATCTTCAACTTGGATATCCCGGCGTCTTCAGCAGATGTGGAAGCGTGGGAGCTGTGCATGTATGATTGATCTCTCGGCGTCTTCAGTTGGATTCTTCATAGGAACTCTCGGCGTCTTCAGTTGGATTCTTCGTAGGAAATCTCGGCGTCTTCAGTGCTGTGCATGGGACTGGACGTGAGAAATCACGGGTTCTGCAAGGAGAGAGCACGGGTTCTGCAAGGAGAGAGCACGGGTCCTGCAGGGCTGCACGTCTGCATGTGGGGGTCCTGCACGTCTGCATGTGGGGGGCATGCAACTGTTGGATTTCTCGGCGTCTTCTTTACATTTAGGTTAGGATTTCTCGGCATCTTTGCATGGAAGGCTGGATAGCTCGGCGTCTTCTTAACAAATAAATCCAATAATGCATGGATGAGTTACGAATGTGTTTATAAGAGAATGCTCGGGCTGAGGCAATGTGAGAGTTTGGGGCTGAGGCAATTCACAATTACAGAAGCAGTGAGAGCTTGAGAGGGAGATTGATCAGCAGTAAGATCACAAAGCATAGCCTGAGGTAATTTAAACTCAAGCCCTAGATCTCATTTGATTCTTGTTTTAAAGGTTTAGGGTTTCATATTGATATCATAATTTTAGTTTCATAAGTTTATTAATTTTGTGATTATATGTTGTTACACTCTGAAATAATAATTTATATGTTGTTACATAATTTGAAATAAGGTTGGGACCATTTTGGAACATTGTAAAGTTTTAGGGACCGTTTTGTAAAATTTAAGGAATTTAAGGAATAAGAGTAAATTATTAAAAGTTGCTATACTATGCTGGAATTTAGTATTAGTATGCTTAATTGGTTAAATTAGAAAGAATTTAAAATTTATGGATTAAATTGCTAACTTTGAAAATGTTGAGAACCAAATAGTAATTAGGGATCGTTTTGCAAAATTTGAGGAATTTAAGAAATTAGAGTAAATTATAAAAAGTTGGTATACTATGCTTGAATTTAGTATTAATATGCTTAATTGGTTAAATTTGAAAGAATTTATAAATTTAGTGATTAAATTGCAAAGTTTGAAAATGTTGAGAAGCAAATAGTAGATAACATGCAATTGATTATTTGAATAAAACAATGTAATAATTGAGTGTAATATTTAATTTTTTTTTGTTTAGATTTGTTGAAACATGGCCGAAGAAAATGTTCTTTTGAGGCTAGATGGTCGACACATTTCGAGTAATTTGGGAGAACTGGTAATATGATCGACTTATTTTTTTTATTTGAGAACGGTGTATTAATTCTAATTACAATGACTAATAAATTGCAGGATGACGAACAACGAGTCCTTCGTCCTCGACTTATCAACTGTGAGATGCCAGATCAACGTATTGTTGATAATTTGAAAATAGTGGGTTTTTATGATGTTGCTTTTGTAAGAGAATTTCGGTTGATCCCCGGTTTGATAAGTGCATTAATTGAAAGGTGGAGACCAGAAACTCATACTTTTCATCTTCCATGTGGTGAATGTACGATCACTTTGGAGGATGTGGCTTTACAACTAGGGGTTCCTACAAATGGAATGGCAGTGGTTGGAAATACAGATCTTGACATGTTTGCAATATGTGAGCGTTACCTTGGGAAGGTACCAGACAAAGATGTAGCAAAAGGGTCACGGCTGAGATTATCCTGGTTGGCAAATGAGTTTAAGCTCGATCCACAATGTAGTGAGCGAGACATTATATGCAACTCGAGCATATATATTACGTTTGATCGGCGGAATCTTGATGCCAGATAAATCCAGTAATCTTGTCCATATACAATATCTTCCGTTTTTGGAGAACTTCTTTATGACCCGTCAGTATAGTTGGGGATCAGTAATATTGGCATTCTTGTATCGCGAGATGTGCAAGGCATCATTAATTGTTAATGATGCGTACACGACTGAAATCGGTGGATGCACGATGTTATTACAATCGTGGGCGTGGTACAGAATTCCATGGTTAACACCGATTAGCCGAACTGCAGTTGACTTTCCTCTTGTCGGAAGGTAATTTTATTGATTTAAAATATTTTATCTTTAATTAAATAAAGAATATTTTGTAAATGAAAAATAATTACAAAATTTTATTTTGATTGGTATACAGATGGAGGCATAAAATAGAAAGAATGGGGTTGGCGCACAACAACGTGAAAGAGTTTAGGTTTAAGATTGACATCAAATGCAAAGTTGAGGTATATATAAAATTAATAAGTGAATTTATTTTTTATTATGTTTATATTATAATATTGTTATTTATTAATTTGTTGATTTTTATAATTATTTAATTAAATAATAACTATATAATTTTATTTTATAGTTTATTTGGAGGCCGTACCATGATCAAGAAATTATGTCGTGCGTACCGCAACATGTCTGGGAGGGTTGTGAATATTGGTGTGCTGTTACACCATTGATCCATTTCATGTTTGTGGAGTTCCAATTTGCCGATAGAGTGTTGAGGCAGTTCGACTTCCACCAACATATTCCAGTCATTCCAGAGAATCATGATGCTCTCCATCGATTAGATGGGCGGGGTAGGGTCGGTGAGGATTGGTCGGTGAGGCATGCTAACCATATCAATCATTGGAACAACAGGGGTTCATACTTGCCAACGCTCACTCCCATACAACCAGATGACTTTGACTTCAAGAGTTCGGATTACCTGAATTATTTTTGGGAACATGGAAAGCCGTTCTTGACAACGATCAGAGAAAGGCGACAATTTATAGAGTATACCAAAAAATTCGGTAAACCCGAGAAACCAAGAAGGACTGGGAGTGGGAGTGGGAGTGGGAGTTCTTCTCACCGTGGAGCAGAACAAGAGACAATGGATAATATCCCACCAGAATCTTTTGATCACACAAGATCATTTAGTCAAATGGTTGGTGATTCTGGTGTTACGCCCTACACTCCTCAGCATGTTCCTCATCAATCACTCATGTTCCCTCCTATGTTTGGGGCAACAAATGATTTTGATCAGATGACATCTATGATCACAAGTACGAGTGTTTGTCCTCAGATGGGAGAGCATAGTGGTGGTGGGCATGTATTTACAACACCAGATCCTATGCCCTCGATGAATGAGCAGGTTGGTTATGCTGAACAAACTCCTGAACAAGTGCAACGACAACAACGAAACCGACGTGGGCCTCGACATTATTACTCAACAACACCCCGACACCGACAAGAGTTGTAATCCTTATTTTAATTATTTGTATCAAATTAAAGTAATCGAATCGAATATATTTACTATTATTATATCAGTAAATATAAATCATTAAAGTCAAGTAATTATTATTAAATCATTAAAATTAAATCATTAAAATTAAGTAATTATTATTAAATTATTAAAATTAAATCATTAAAGTAATTATTATTAAATCATTAAATCATTAAATCATTAAATCATTAAAGTAATTATTATTAAAGCATTAAAGTTAAATCATTAAAGTAATTATTATTAAATCATTAAATCATTAAATCATTAAAATAATTATTATTAAATCATTAAATCATTAAATCATTAAAGTAATTATTATTAAATCATTAAAGTTAAATCATTAAATCATTAAAGTTAAATTATTAAATCATTAAAATTAAATCATTAAAGTAATTATTATTAAATCATTAAAATTAAATCATTAAAGTAATTATTATTAAATCATTAAAGTAATTATTATTAAATCATTAAATCATTAAATCATTAAATCATTAAAGTAATTATTATTAAAGCATTAAAGTTAAATCATTAAAGTAATTATTATTAAATCATTAAATCATTAAATCATTAAATCATTAAAATAATTATTATTAAATCATTAAATCATTAAATCATTAAAGTAATTATTATTAAATCATTAAAGTTAAATCATTAAATCATTAAAATTAAATCATTAAAGTAATTATTATTAAATCATTAAAATTAAATCATTAAAGTAATTATTATTAAATCATTAAAGTTAAATCATTAAAGTAATTATTATTAAATCATTAAATCATTAAAGTAATTATTATTAAAGCATTAAAGTTAAATCATTAAAGTAATTATTATTAAATCATTAAATCATTAAATCATTAAAATAATTATTATTAAATCATTAAATCATTAAAGTAATTATTATTAAATCATTAAAGTTAAATCATTAAATTATTAAAGTTAAATCATTAAATCATTAAAATTAAATCATTAAAGTAATTATTATTAAATCACTAAAATTAAATCATTAAAGTAATTATTATTAAATCATTAAAGTTAAATCATTAAAGTAATTATTATTAAATCATTAAAGTTAAATAATTATTATTAAATCATTAAAGTTAAATAATTAAATTTAAATAATTATTATTAAATTGAATCGCATATAATATAAAAATTTATAAAATAATAAGATTACTGCTGAGGTCTATACTGTGGAAGGTTTGGACAATTTCTTTTTGAATGCCCTTCACCTCTACATAATCCACACCTCTTCGGTTGGCCTTTCTCTCTAATATGTATATCCATACTGGTATGAATACGAGTAGATTCCGGTCGACCCGTTGGACTTCTACGAAGTAGTGGATTTGGCAACCATTCATCATGATCTCGATTGTCCCAATAAGATTCATTTGGGATCGGTCTGAACTCATGGTTGTATATATTTAATATCCTCTGTAGGTGAAAGCACTCATCAACATAAGTGTATGAATTGATTCCAGTATGCATACATGCAGCGACTGCATGAGCACACGGATATCTCCACGCCTGAAAGCGGCCACAATCACACCATCTTTGTCGTAAATTAACAGTAAATGATTCTCGATCTGCTCCTTCGTTGAGACGTATGCATGTGATGACAA